TAAATTAACGCTTTTCAAGTAACGTTTTTTCAACGTTAAGTTGCGGCGCCTATGCAACGCTTTTTAGGTAACGCTTTTTCAACGTTTAGTTGAAACATTTTTGTAACGTCTTTTAGTAACGTTTTTTCAACGTTACGCTACAACGTTTAATCAACGTCTCTTTAACAACGTGACATATCTTTGCAAAATCGATTACTTTGTCAACGTTTCCGCAACACCTTTTGCGACCGGTTTTCAACGTTGATTCAACGCTGACATGTTTGCTGGGTACATGTTGAAAATGAATTAGACACATCTATGTCGTAAGATGATATTGTAATAATAACAATTTTACAAGTAAATAATCAAAAAAAAAAGTATTTTTAATATTAATTTCAAAGAATCTGTTAATTTATTCTAATCAGTGAATGTATTGCAAAAGTGTTATTTACTCCAGGTAAGACCCAAATTTTTTTTGAAAATGTACATGTTAGTTAACTGTATTAGAAATAAAAACACAATCATTTACTTTTAAAATTTACAAATTAAAATTAGGCAAAACTATTTTATTCCATAAAAAAGGACCGCGATAAGAAATAACCGAGTGGGCACGGACGTAAAAAAAAACGTCTTTTAAACGTCTTGGATGCAGCCGTGGCGCAAGCAGCCGTGGCGCAGTGGTAGCGCACTTGCCTCAGTAACGTAAGATCCGTGGTTCAAATCCCACCTCTGGGCAAGTTTTGCGACATCGGTTAGGAAGGAGGCGTGAACTTCCTATTAAATGCTTTTCCGCGGTTCTCTGTGATAAGACCGTAAGGACTTCTTGGGGTACCTTAATCAACTTAAAAGAAAGAAAAAAAGATGTCTTTTAAAAGTTTTTTGAACGTTGCGGACGTCTTTTGAACGTTCAAAAGACGTCTTTTTTTGGTCCGGTTTCCACTGGGAAATAGTTAAAATTTGGTTTAACAGAAAGGTTCTTGAAAGTTTTTTTTATTACAAAAATTTTATTTGTTTATGGGTTTTACATTATAAAGGTTTATAAATATATTAGAGGATAAATGATTTTTATATCTAAACATGAAACATAAAATATTATGTTTTCATCGACCTTTTGAAAGCATTCGATACTGTCGACCATGAAACTTTACTACAAAAACTAAAACATTATAGAATAAATTGCAAAGTTATAAAATGGTTCAAAAGTTATCAGCAATAATGATCATCAAAATAAATTTCTAAACATTTCATGTGGCGTTCCACAAGGTTCCATTTTGGGACCACTATTTTTCTTAATTTATATAAACGATCTAAATAAAGCCTCAAATTTAATGAGTATCATGTTTGTTGATGACACTAACTTCTTCTTTTCCGATAATGACATTTGCAAACTCTTCTATACTATAAATGATGAACTTAAAAATATATCCAAATGGTTTAAATGCAACAAACTAACTCTTAACATTAAAAAAAAAAATTGGGTTCTTTTCCACCCAGTCTTTAAAAAAGCTTATTTACCCCGAAGTTTGCCTAAAATTTTTATTGATGATGTTGAAATAAAAGACATAATGTATCAAAGTTCTTAGGTGTTTTTCTTGATGAAAACATCACATGGAAAAAGCATATCGACTATATTAGTACAAAAATTTCTAACAATATTCGAATTCTATATAAAACCAGAACATATTTATGTAAATAAAGTTTAACTTAACTTTATTACTCATTAATTCATAGTTATTTAAATTATGCTAATGTTGCATGGGGAAGCACTGAAAAAAGTAAGTTAAAATGCCTTTATCGCCGTCAGAAACATGCAATCCGTTTAATAAATTTTGCGGATCGATACACTCATTCCAAACCACTTTTTATTGAAATGAAAGATCTCAATATTTATGAGCTTAATGTTTTTAATGTTTTGTGCTTTATGTATATGTGGAAAAATGACATATCTTTACCCGTTTTCAAAGATCTCTTTTGTTGGAAACCACTAAATAAATATACATTTAGAAACAATAATTTTATATATGAGCCCTTTTGTCGAACCAACTTTATTCAGTTTTGTATTGCACATCGTGCACCCTATCTTTGGAATAAAATTATTTTGTCCGATTTCGACATGCATTTTACTTTTCCCATTTTCAAATATAAACTGAAAAATTTAATTATCTTAATGGATGATGTAGTCAGATTTTTTTAATCGTAATTTTATATATATATATATATATATTTTTAGAACTTTTATTGTTTACTACGTTTTATTTAGTTAATTATGTTTTGATGTAGTTTATATACACACGCTTGTAAAAGGTTCTGATGATAAGATCAGTACGATCTCCTTTCAGAAACCTTGTTTGTGTTTGTGAAAGTAAATTATTTACTACGATAACAAATGTAAACTAAAAAAAAAAAAAAATTACAAACATTTAGTTCATATGCATTTAAGGCTTATATTGATTTAAGATAAACAGATTGCCCTCAATATTAATAAAAAAGAAATTATCACTTTTTTAATGAATCCTATCAG